TTCAAATCAATCGCAGCATATACTGTATTCTATACCTACCTGATCAAATATCTCATTATCATAATAAGAGTGCTAAACGTTATGTACAATTTTCACGTCAAACAACATTGTTCGTAGTTATTTATAATTTTCATTGGTGAAAATTGTTTAAGAAGTATATGGTATAAAGACAAAGCAAACACATACAAGAATTTTCTTCTTGCCAATGCACTACAATCTAAAAATAATGAGAAAAAGGGCACATTAACTTTCCTTCAAATACTTTGCTTTAATTAGTTGATGATTAAATATCTCATTATCATAATGAGAGTTGATCATTTCCTCATTTTCGAGAAATTTCTTAAGACAATGAAACTGCATTAAAAAACATCACAGTTTTTATATTGGTGATCCTAGTCCAGATCTTGGTAATTTCAGTTCTGAATAACATTATTTTATGTTTAATGACATGATATGGCATATGCCGCATAATGCCGATACTCAGTGGTAACATGCACCCAGGTAGTGTTTTCATATAAATTAAACGATTAATTTTTTAAATTGATTAACTGCAATTTCCTCCCCAGTAACATCAAAAGCAAAAAAAAAATACCACTCCTACACCAATTTCTAAAATCACTGGTTTTGGATCATGTTTAGGGAAATTTGCTCAGGTAAGAAAATTATCACCTTTTGATCCTGAAAATCTTTTTACTCTTATGCCATTCGCGTTTCCTCTTTTCTAGAAATGAAAAAAAAATAAAAAAATTAAAAATAAATGAAAATTATCCAATAGTGGAACAAATGTGACAAAATTATGAACGACTTTTAAATTAAACGAAAAATTTCGGACCGATAATCTAAGGTAGTTTTGCATCCTGATTCGCATTTTATATGCAAATAAAACAGTTTTATTCATTTCGACCTTACCAAATTCTTTTTCCTATGAGTTCCTCTCTTTCTATCATTCTATGTATCTACTTTAATATTCAATGATAAAACAATGCTAATGAATTATAATTAAAATCTCTTTCTAGGGAACCAGTTTACTGAATTCAAGAAACAATCAAAGTAATATTCCTCTCCTTGTCCTATTCTTCCCTGCTTCGTGTCTTTCCCTCCTCTTTTCTTTTACGCTTTTCTTCATGATTTTTGCCCAATGCTCTAAATGCAAAAATGAAGAAAATCAAGTGAAAGCGGTAATAAATGGAATGCTTCAGGTAACAGTTCGCTTGTTACTTAATTCGTGACGCCATAAATGGATTAATGAAATTCCCACTGTCCTTCTCTACTATCTAGCAAATACGGTCAAAGGAACTTTGCCAAAACAGCGGAGAAAGAAAATTTTGTTGATTAATACCCAAAATCAATACATTAGATCCATCTTTGACCAGATGATAAATTATTATCATTAAATGACCAGTAAATGATAACCACAAACGTGTAATGAAGTTTCCAACATAGTGTTCAATAGCGACATGGTGCTATACCCTCAGTCATTTCATTCTTAAAGAGTTGTTTATTCTTTTGTCTATTAACTGGTTTTAGACCGTCTCAGCTATGAATTTCAAATACTAAGCCATGTTACTTACTTAGACAAGAGATAAGCAATGTTACTTAATCCATCCATGTGTTTATATATCTCCAAAAGACTAAAAAGAGATCCTACCACATTTTCGGATTGGCTTGGAACCTTCATCCTAACTATACAATAGAAGTTTCTTGACAAAAAATTTATAGTCCTTAACATAATTTATTTTTTGGCTATACCATTACTCTCCAATATTTCAAGAATACGTCTGGGAAATAATAGTAATAACGGAAACTATTATAGATTCAGTGTTTTCATTAATTTTTATCATATTAACGGTCTCAGTTTTGCTCAACTAAACTGTAGAAGTGTTGTAAAATGAAATGACAAACACAGAAACTAACTGTAATTGCAGCTTTAGCACCAGCACCCACAGCAGGCATGTGATCCCGAAACAGTTCGCATATACGAGCCTGTCCTGGCGATAAGCCTTGCAAGGTTAAGCAAGTCGGTCGAGCATTACTCCCAGCTAGTAAATTTGCTGTGCTTAGTTGGGCAACTGAAGACCTATAATTTAATAAAAAAGTCATGTGATTTCAAGCAAAGCCTTTCTAAAATCATATCGGCAAATTTTAAACTAGAACATAGAATATGCAATTTTTCTTTTAGCAATTTTATGGTAACAAGAATCCAAGTTAACAAAAATTTTTCGACGAAAATTTCCAGTCTCGTAACATAACTATATTTTTTTTCCATAAATGTGATTTTTTGAGAAACACAAAGAACAAGCCAGCTGATTTATCATCCATGTTCAAGCAATTTGTTCGCTGTTGGTAGTACGGCTCGATGCCCGATTAAACAAAATGTTCATGATATCAGACCTGTCAGTCATTTACCCATTAATTACAGCTTACTAATTGGTTACGCTTACAGTGATTTGTAAAACAACTGATTTTTTATTATAACAACTTTTTAAACTTACATAATGTCTACTTTTTTTTAAAAAAAAATGGATATTTTGCAGAATACGAGTGTGAAGATGTCATTACGTAAAGCGTTAACTTGTTTTGTAGTTTATATTTAAAATTTCATAAATTTACGGTGCATTTACAAATTTAATATATAAGCAAATGACAACTTCAGCGTGAAAATTGCAACTAACCACCATGAAGCATCTATAACAGCACTGACAATTATCAAAGAGGAGAATAACAGAAGCCAGTGAATCAATAATAAGTAGTGAATAATGCACATCTGAAAGTTTTTTTATTTCGGATTTACAATGATTGTTTGAGCAGTACGAACAATGCACAAGGTGGGTTATCGCATGGAAAAACTGAAATTGTTGAAATACGATGGAATAATTCTTAGTTAATTAACCTATGGTGACCAAAAATATTCATCAAAATATTCAACTCTTAATATTTGCAATTCAATTAAACTATTAAAATTCTGAATATAGTTCTGCAATTGCTAAATTGCTTAAAAAAGTCATGCTATGCGAATGGTTACCATTTAGAATGACTTGCCAGTCTTGTTAGTTAGTTTCTTTATTTAAAAATTTATGTTTCGAACTAATTTTAAGTTATATTTTCGATGAACACTTCGCCTTTTAAATGTTTTAATATTAATAATACCTTGAACGCTTTTATTCTACACGTAGTTCAGCAAATTTCCTTAATTAAAATAAAACATATATATACTGCAAATAAGGAGTGGAACAATATCGTCCGATATCTTAGCAACATTGACAACTCTTAACCAGAAAATAAAAGGAACATTACGACTGTCGGTTTGAAATCAGCAATTGCAATAGACTACAGTGTCCACTGCCTAGACGAACTTCGAAGGACTCATCGAAAACTTAGGATTATTGATTATATAAATGAATTTGAATTTTGAGGCAGCAACCTCGAAGTTTGCTTCTCTGTAAGTATTCAGAAATATGTAATATAAGAAAACTGAAAATGAGAAAGCTTAATAAAAAAGCTATGAAATTTAGAAGCAAGAAGCGAGAAATTGCAGCACCAAAGCAGAACATTTGCTGAAGTAATGATGAGTCTAATGCAGTTTGGAGGTTTGAAGTCACCATCAGTATATATATATATATATATATATATATATATATAAAGCTATAAATTAAAGTGGAATATTGTAAACTTTATAGAAGTTCTTATAAGTGCGAGTAATGAAAACCTTTTAAGATTAGATGGCAGTTACTTCGTACTTGATCCGAATCACTGGTATTAATATTAGATAAACAGAGGAAGAGCGATTAGTGGGTATGAATTCAACTTCCCTTTCCATTTTGCTATATATTCTTGTTTCGAGTGGTGCAAGTGGATATCTAATAAAGTAGGCAAGTATGTGTGCTTCCCTGAATGTTAGTGTATTGGGCTGCCTAAATAGCAAACTTGAAATTCTCGATGAATGAATCAAAATTCGCTATAACTCAAATATTTCACTTGAGATAACTTTGAAACTAGATGGGTTGTGGACCATATTTTTGTTTTTTTTTATGAATTTTCCGTATTATTGCTCATATCTCATGGAAGGACATAAGTTATTCCTGAAATTTGATTAGAAAGATGGAATAGTTCATTTTCACATTATACTCTTCCATTTTTCATGCACTACTTGACATAATTTCATTGTTGGGAGAATCTTTCCCAGCAAATCCATGGGAAAAAAAGAAGTACTTCATCATTTTTCCATTTGATTGATTTTTGAGTGTCATAGTATTCATGTTGCTTTCGCAGCTCATTAGGTGTTTGGACTGGGATTTCGGACTTCCGAAATTCAGGCGCAAAAGCCGAAAGGAAGCAGAAAGATAATAAAAGATGGAGGAAATGGAGAAAAACTAATCCTGAAGAAACCGGAAGAGTTGATCGTCATTTACACGGATATTATATATACCTCATGTAAATCAACCATATACTAGGGACGGTTTTAAGTGTTTAGTGATTAGTGAGATTGTATAACTAGTGAGACCATATGCGTCATCCAGCTTTCTCAAATTAATGAAAAAACTAGTTTTTGTAATAATTGTATTATCAACAGATAAATAAGAATGTAGAAAAAAAGGATGGAAAGTTCAACTTTTATTTGCTATTGTCATCATGGTATTGCTAAAACATCAATTGAACAACATTACTAAATGAAGATGAACGGTCATTGTGATCATCCGAGTATATTACTATCATATTTAATACAGATTGCGAAATATTTAGTCCATATTAATATAATACTAGCTAGTGTTAACTATCCAATAAGTACGAGGATTGCGGTGGTCATAAGTGCATATGTAACTGTCAGATAAGTGTTAAGTGTTAATCATTGCTGTGCTGTTCAAAACAGCAATGTTTACTGAGTTTCCGTTTCCATATTTCTTGGATTGTTTATCATTGAAATTTTGAAACCGATCTGTCTTCTGATTGATAAAATGGTTAATTAAAGAATAAAAATGAAAAAAAAAGTTTGAGAACTATTGATGGAGTGTGGTAATGGATCAACACATGATCAAGTGGCAAGGCTGAGCAGAAAGGGAGAGAGCGGGATGTGGGGAAAGGAAAAATGTTTTGGTCTAATGCCCAGTCGTGGAAGTTCTGAGATTGCTAAGATTGATGATTCTTTTCTCACTTGCTCGCCTGAAAAGATTGATTGTTTCATCGATCGAACAGTTGAGAGAAACTTTCTGCACCAACATTAGGGACAGTTGGAATAAAGCAAAGACAGATAGATCGATAGATGGGTGAATGCAAGAAACAAGTCTACTACGTCCGAGAAATTATAAATGCAAAAATTTACATTCTGTTTCCAGCGTACATTTATACTGTATTGATGTTAAATTTCTTCCTGGACTAATATTTTTCTCAATAGTAATTGCAGCAACGTAGTTCTGAGGATTGATCAGCTCTGCACAAACTCAATAGAATTGAAAAAGTGATTTGTAGCTATCTTTAACATTCTCCCAAAACAACCAAATTTGATAATTTTCATGAAAAGAAACGACTTGGACGAAATTCTAAAGAAATTTTTTTTCATGTAAAAAAATTTTTTTTTTCACTTTGTATAAAATTTTGTGTGCATAAATTATATTGCTTTTAAAACCTAAATTTATTTAAGATAAGGCTTAAAACACTCGTCTTGAGATATCAGTCCTGTTTTTAGTATTTTTTAAATTTATAAGGTGAAAACTATCGTATAATAACCACTATCCTAGTTCCTTGCCGTATTCAATTGTAGCTTGATTATCGCGTCACTATATATCTAGAAATGCAAAGATTCGTTAATTTTCAACCTCGGCAACGCTAAACAATTAAGTATCGACAGCCTGTTGTTGTATTACAAACGGTTTTTAAAACTTACAAAAATTAATTAACAAAAAAAAAAGAAAAAATGAAAATGAAAAGAGGAAAAATAAGGACAATTGTGATATAGGTAAAACTACCGAGAAAATGTTTTAATGTTCATAAAAGGCAGCTAATTACCTCAAAAACATGAATTTTGGGGTAACTAGCTGCCAAATAAAACACGATTGAATAATATATCTCGTTTTAAATTTAATCCACTGACCTAAATTAACAGTTATCCATTTAGGGAATGATTGAAATTTCTATGCATTTCTAACCTTTATAGAGTTGTAAAACAAAATTTTATTTCAGAGTAAACTTTCCATATAAACATATTCTATAAAAATTTTCGGAATAGTAAGCTTTCTGCTTTCAGCATTTAGAAAACTGGTAGATTTTATTATTAGAATAAATGAAATTACGAGGATTAACGGAAACTTCTCTATGTTTCAAATAAAAAAATCAGACAGAACCTCATGCTGTCCATACTTTGAATTTAATTAGGAATGTATAAAATGGAAATTGGAAGAATTAATTAAGCTGTCATGCACTGGTTGTTTAAAAGTTGTAATCAGATTTATTCCTGACTGATCTCTTCAAAGTAAGTCCGTTTGTATCACTTCCCCAAAGAAAAACGGATGATGCGCAATTTTATTTCTGCATAAGTGCACAATTACTAAATTTATTGCTTTTAATAGTGGAAATTTTTTTTAAAGTACTTTTTATTTTGTTTAAATGAAGTCGAGAATTTTTTATAAATTAGCTAAGAAGTATGAAACATTTTAATATTAATCATTTGTGCTCAAAATACAAATGGGACCATCACCAAATATAAAAGAGAAATATTTTACTTTGGTACGAGCAGAAGTAGGATTGAAGTCATAATGAGTGACAATTCATGTCATCTTAATATGAGTTAGAAATGAATCAAGGGAAGAAAACCGGATGATAAAGAATATAATGTAGCCTGTCCACATTTAAAAAGATACCATTAATACCGACTTCTACAAATATCATTTCAAAAAATAACAGAGGAACAGAAGTGTTTTTATTGCTATTATTTGGTGGAGCACTGCTTAGAATTCAAATAAAACAATGATCAGTGGAAAAATGCTTCAAACTGAGAAGAAAAACACTTAATCTAAGTAAAAACCTTAATCCTGGTTAGGAGAAGCAAACACTAAGAAATTATGGGTACTTTCAAAGTTTAATTGCATGAAGTTAAGTTAAGAAAACCGATCATGACAATTTTTATAACATAAGAAACGATTATATAATAATTACGATAGCGCTGCAAGAAATCCTTATCACTGAATACAGTTGTCCAAAATAATTTACGCACGACAGGCACGATATTAATCAAAAAAGTTTCAACTACGAAGTATTGTTGGAAGTGTTCACTTTCTTAGAGCAAAAAAATGGAATGTTCCTGAAAGTACCAAACTCTTCATACAGTTGTAACATTACAATTATTAGCAATGATACCATTTGTCATTCATACACTTTTATGGAAAAGAAACAATCTATCATAATAAATAAATGAAATCTGCCATTATTTGCTACACCATTTTCGATTAATTAAGTTATTTATTTACAACAATTTAGTGTACAATAATGTGAACAGAAAGCCAATAAAGCAAAAGCTTTTTCATAGTTTTCTTTCAGCTTCAATTTTGATTATCAGCTCTTCGTTATAGGACGACATCAGCTAATACTTAATAAAAAATAAAACTCTGAATCCATTGTAATTGTAGCATATTACATTTAAGTGTAAATCTAAAGCTTGCATTTCACATTTCTATGCATTTCATAATTTTATTCACGACACTCTTGATTTAAAATAATTGCTAAATAAAGTAGTTTTTAAATTCACACTTAAGCGCTACAGAAATATAATCGTTGTTTCTGATACAATAAACTGCGAGAATGGAATCAGTAATTAGCCCGATGCATTAGCTGCCAGAATAATGTGTTTGTTAGACAGCTAAACAGAAAAGAAATAATAAATTGCGATTCAGATACTCAGATACCTTCCAGAACAGTGCAAATATTAGCCTGTTGCAGTAAATCAAATTGGTTGATAGTTTTACTGCTCATACCACACCATCCTAAGAGCTATCTCTTTTGGCCTCTTTCTTCAACTCTTGACACTTTTTTCTTTTTAGGGTTAGAGGTCTTAATGATTACCTTCATTTATATTTTCTGCATTTGCTCAATTTAGATGACGTTATTTAAACAGAAATGGAAATTTGTGTCTGAAAATAATTATGTCGCTTATTATTGTTGATTTTAAAAGATGAAAAAAATGATTTTCAATCGTTGTATTTGATATAAGTCTACAGAAATTTTCACTTATTGCAACTTTATTAGAATAAAGCAGCTTGTACCGGTAACGAGCGGTATAATTAAATGGATCTTGTCTGCAAGAAGAAATATTTTAATTATTCATTAAAATAATCATGCAGTTAAGTAGGGCTACGTTAGCGTGAAAAAGTGCTGGAAAACGAAACAAAAGCCAGTGGAAGACGACTGAGGAAATTAAAACCCAAATAAACTAGTTATTTCCAGAAGTTAGTGTATTTGCTTCCTCTTCGACAAAGTTTCGTAAATCCAATTCAGTTGCTAAATAGATGTCGTCCAGTACTGGCGACGACTTCTACGGTTGGGCGATAGCTTGCAATTGAATGAAAACAACTAATTTTGAAAATTTTCGATAAGACTGAGTTGAATTAATGCACCCATTGCAGTAAGTCCCAGTGTCCCTGAGAAAAAAAAGCCTCGCAAATCTCAAACTCTCACTATTTATCTAATTAACTGGATAGGGAAAATGAATGAAACGCCAAGGATGACGCACCAGTAACGCCTTGCTGCGAGGGAGATATTGCGCGATATGGAAATACGAAATGGACCTAATGACACTGTTTGCATTTCTGATTATATGCTTATCAGTTTATTACATCTTCCAAACGACTGCCCAGCAGAACTGTTTGCCAAATCTTTTCCTTCTCTCCACTCTCCCCATCCTAATGTCTGCTCATCTTCCGTGCACTTCACATTTACTGTTAATCAAGCCCTCAGATTCTCTATTCCTAAGAGTTTTAATTCACATTCTTTCAGTAATTTAACGGGATGATGATACGAAATGAAACAACTTTATTGAATTTCAGAACAGTCTGTTTGTTTTGACAAATAACTCTGCAACCACTATTTTCATCAAATGTAAGTGAAGAAGATTTGAGACATGCAGAAATGCTAAAAATGGTCTTATTATTATAAGAGAAGAATTATAATAATAGAAGTATTTGTTGTTATAATATAAAAGAAGTATCAGTTAATTCTATAAGAACATTCCGAAACTTATTAACTGATTTTGGAGTTTTGAAACTCTTCACAAAGAGATTTCGTAAAAAATGATAAAATGCTTTTTTTTTTTTTTTTTTTTTTTTTTTTTTTCTTTTTTATGAAACAAGCAATCTTGACATCAACCTCGAAAAATTAATTTAATACAATAGAATTGATCAAGCGGAACTTCTGCTTCTGTCCATATTTTAAACAATAATCGGAAAAATGGAGTTAAAAATTCAATTTATTTCGATACATAAAATGACTTAAATCTGAATCCATCGATTTGGATAACAATTCAAAAAAAGCAGCTAACATTTGAACTGGCGAGTAGTATCAGAAAGCAGTGCATGCACCACTTAACATTTCAGCAGATTTTTCCATCGTCTTCTGTGATTGTTATGATATGACGATGTGCTTTTATTTTATCCAAAGTGTTTAAGACACCTGGAAGAGGCTGAAAGATCAAAATGAATCCGTATCAGCCAAGCATATACCTTGTGAAATTGGAAAGCTCTCCGTTTCAAGGTAACAATATCATAGGATAGCCTTAAAAAAGAAAAATGATAGTTCGACAGACATCTCAAAAACATCTAATTTGTGCTTTGACAAACTAGAAATAATTACTGAAATGAGGAAACTGAAAAAGAAGAATTCCTCTGTCTCTAAGTTCGAAATTTAGTCCAAAATGGGTAGTTTATCAGCAGAGTAAACCAGAGTGAAAGTTAGGTAGAGGTCAAAAGCGAAAACAGGAATTTGCAGGTACGAGTTGGAAGCTTTGCTGAGCAAAAATTCAGTCGACATTAAGAGCTCAATACACTTAAAGAGTATGTGCTAATATGGAAAAAACTAATAGATTCCTCATGCATATATCTAATTTAATCCAGTGCATGTGATTTATTTTGCAACTATTCCAAATGTTGACATTTTTAATGAAAAAAGGAAAGAAAAAAATTCCGTTTTTTTTTTCGCTTCTCTAGTAATATTATTCTGAAATTAGTCACTGCTCTTAACA